AGAATTCAAAACCAAATCATGATAAAAACTTTTCACAAAGTAAGAATACAAGGTGATTTCTTCAATCTGATAAAAAAAAATCTGTTAGCATCAATGGGGGAAAATACGGCCTGATGTCTGATCTGACCACTTTTGTTCAACATGGTACTGGAGGTCCTAGTTACTGCAAGTAGGTAAGACAAAGGGGTAGGTAATGCAGGGGCTGGCTGTTTAGTTCAGTTGGTTAGAAAGCAGTGTTGATAAAACCAAAGTCAAGGGTTCAGATCCCTCAAGGTGATTTCTTCAATCTGATAAAAAAAAATCTGTTAGCATCAATGGGGGAAAATACGGCCTGATGTCTGGATCTGACCACTTTTGTTCAACATGGTACTGGAGGTCCTAGTTACTGCAAGTAGGTAAGACAAAGGGGTAGGTAATGCAGGGGCTGATTGTTTAGTTCAGTTGGTTAGAAAGCAGTGTTGATAAAACCAAAGTCAAGGGTTCAGATCCCTGTACTGACCAGCCCCCCCCAAAAAAAAACCAAGAAAGAAATAACATGACTAGAAAAAGAAATACAAAAAACATAAAGACTAGAAAGAAAAAAGTAAAACTGTTAGCCAATGACATGACTGTTTATGTAAAAAATTCTAAGAAATCTATAAAAAAGCTACTAGACCTTAGTAAGTAGTAAGTAAATTTAGCAATGTCATACCATGTGAATATAGAAATCATTTGTATTCTTTTATACTGGCAACAAGCAACTGGAAAATAAATTTTAAAAAATATCATTTACAATAAAAGTAAGAGCATTTAAAAATATTCAAGACTTCCACATTGAAATCTCAAAAAATTTCTGAGAGAAATGAAAACAAACCCATGTTCCTTGGTTGGAAGATTCTATACTCTTAAAATGTCAATTCTTTCCTTGTTGTTCTACAGATCTAGTGCCACCCCAGTAGGCTTTTTAGGAGGGAGGGAGGGGTTGTAATTGGCAAGCTGATTCTAAAATTTATATGGAAATGCAAAGGACCTAGAATAGCTAAAACAGTCTTTAAAAAGAATAAAGTGTTGATTTAAAGAAATATTGGTAGTGGTGTACAAACAGACAAATAGGTTAATGGAACAAAACGGAGTATCAGGAAATCGACCCACTCCGATATGGTCACTTGGTTTTTGACAAAGCTGTGAAAATAACTAATTCAAAGGGGTAAAGAAAACTCTTCAACAAATGTTGCTGAAATATCTGGGTATATATAAACAAAAAGTTAACTTCAGCCTCTACGTCATACCATTAACAATAATTAATTTGAGATGGATCACAGACCTAAATGTCAAAGCAAAAACTAAAGCCTCTAGAGGAAAACCCAGAAGAATTTCTTTATGACCTTGTGGTAGGCAAATAATTCTGAGGACACAAAGAACACTAACATAGAAAGAAAACATTGCTAAAATATATTTCATAAAAAATAAAAATTTTCTTTTCATCAAAAGGCATTTATGAAAATGAAAAGGCAAGCCACAGATTGGGAGACAATACTCACAATGCACATATCTCAAAAATATATACACAAACTCCTATATAAAACTTATTAATAAAAAGACCAACAACCAAATTAAAAATATACAAGATTTGAACAGATACTTCATACTTCACAAAAGAAGATAAACCAGTAAGCACATGAAAAGATGCTCAACCTCATTAATCACTGGGAAATGCAAATTGAAAACATGAGATATCACTTCATCCCCTGTAGAATAGCTAAAATTTAAAAGGCTGACCATACCAAGTGCTGGAGAGGATGTGGAACAACCGGAATTCCTCACACATTGCTGATGGGAGTGTAAACCGGTACAACAACTTTGGAAAAAGTTTGTCAGTTCTTTAATAAAATTAATTCTATACATACCTCCACTCCCAGGTATTTACCCAAAGAAAGGAAAACATATGTCTATAAAAAGATTTGTTCCTAGCAGCTCTATTCATAAAATCCCCAAACCTGAAACAACTCAAATATCCATATACTAGCGAATGGATTAATAAATATACTATATTAATAGAATATTACTCAGCAGTAAGAAAGAAATGATAAATAACAGATAACAGATAAATCTTAACAAATAAATCTTAAAAAATTATGTTGAATGAAAACAAGAAACAAAAGAGTATAATCTGTATTACTCCATTTATAGGAAGTATCTAGAAGAGGAAAAATTAAGACAGGGTGATAGAAATCAGAACAGCAATTGCCTTGGGTGTAAAGAGACTACTGGTGTTTGGAAAGGGGTATTGGGTAACTTTGTCAAAACTTACCAAAAGGTATACTTAAAATCTGTCCACTCCTTTGCATGTAAATTACACTGCAAAAAATTATATACATATATATGCAAAGCCCTTGCTTTCAAAGAACTCATGATTTGGTTAAGGAAACAAGACATATATGAAGATGTGGAAAAACCAAAAAATCATACAAAAGAGATGCCAAAGCAGTATGTAACCACAGTCAAATGAGACTGGGAAGAAGAGGGGAAAGAGCTGCCTGTGAGTTAGAGCAGATGGGAAAACCCATATGGAAGTAGAAAGAAGGATTAGATTTGAGGGGGCAGAAAGAGGGTGGGAGGAAAGGAGTGAGCAAAGACACTGAGGGACAGAGCAGAAGTTAAACCCCAGGGTCTTCTATATGCGTTGACTGACCTAACATAGAAAGTCCATCCATTAGGGAGGAGTACAGTTCTGTTTTACAGAATGCAGTTCAGAGAGGTTAAGAGCCCTGGCCCAAGGCCACAGAGCTTATAGGATTAGACTTTGGGACAGGAATTGGGATCTAGTAAAGGGTATTTCACTTGTGAGAGACAGACCATGAGCAAGAAGCACGTGTGGTAGGAAAAGCCCTGGTCAGTGCCAGGAAGTGTCCTTTCTGAGTTCACATGTTTAGAACTTTGCTCTACGTGAGGGAATAAACAGCTGACTCCACTCAAAGGGCTCTATTACTGTTCATTACCCGTGAGAGTGTTTATGTCATGGGCAGAGCTCCCCTACTGAATTATAGCCTTTTACGCACTGTGTACATACAGTATTTCCAGAGGACAAAGAAACAGGGCGTGTAAGGAATGCTGCAGTTGACCTTTCTTTCTTTCCATCCTTTCTCTCAGCCTTCTCAAACAATCTCAAGCCTATACTGCAGGACAGTTCTTTGGCTGTGTTTATCCATTACCTGGCCCTCTGACATAGCCCAGAGCAGTTACTCAGTTCTGCTGAGAATGGAGACTTTACACTATTTCTTCTTGCCAGTATGGGCTGCTGGCTTTCTCTCTGATTACATTTAAAATGCATCCATCTTCACTACAGTAAAAGGCAGATTTTTCAAACTGCTTCAGATGTTTTCTTTAGATTGGTGTTAGTTAACATAAAGCAAATGTCTCTTGAAACTCTGAACCAATCTGTTAAGATAAACAGGCTTCACTTATGATATTCCTATACTGAAATCATAGGCTTGTGGTCTGCAACGTCTAAAAGACTCAATTCATACATGCTAAAATGTCTACTTAAGAAAAACACACACTCACGCACACATACACACATACAAGATAGCTTTGCTATGGAAACCACAAAGACATGTCTGGTTCTGACTCCATAGCACATACCACAAATAACGGCCCATCTTCTAAGGATAGATCCTATGTATACACGGGGAAAGCCCAGAAAATTAAACAACTGCGATACTTTAAACATAAAACTTACTTTATAATTCCTTTTTACAACTGTATTTCAAGATATGTAAGTCTTAATCATTTTTATGAATTGTATCTGCATGTTTGTTTGTTTCCTGGAAAAAAATTTCAGACTTGGGTGTCATGAATAAAAAGGGAAAATACAGGGAGAGAGGGCACACTGAAGTTTCAGATAACATCAACTCTGGATTCCATATATGAATCTGGAACAGTGTGAATTTCTAGAAAATTATTTCAAAATTTCTGTCATTATTTCAAAGAGTTCTGAGCCTGCTGTAAGTGAAGGTGTTGTATTACAGAAAGTACAGGAGATGCCAGGAAGCCCCCTGGGAGGGAAAGGGTCGGGGGCCGAGGGAGGCAAGTGCAAGAAGCCGTACTAATCAATACATTGTAGGTCTGCAAGGCCAGGCTTTATTAGTAGGTACTTTAAAACTAGTCAGAGTTTTGATAAGATAAAGGCTTTATCTCCTCTGCTGGGCTACAAATTCCATGAACACATGGATAATTTCTAATTTGTTTAGCATTATATCCCCAGCATGGAACACAATGCCTGGAACACGGTGGATGCTTAATAAATATTGGGTGAGTGAATCAAGAGGATGCTTAGTAGATAGTCTTCATTTGTGTGATTCTTTGGATCTGATCATCCTTCAGCTGGGATCACAGGTGTGAGCATATGGCTGTTCAGTGAGAAAGTAATAACAACATGCCATGCTCTGATTTATTTTTGGAGACAATGATTTTGACCCACTGCTGCTTCGATCTAGGAAGCCATGGTTCACGAAGACTCATGTTCCAGATACTCCAGTCTTACCTATAAAAAACAGTTGGCATATTTCTATATTTACCTATTACATATGACTGAGGTGTGAACCTTCTGAGAGGTTCGCGAGCAATAGCTGTATCTCTAAACTCCAAACTGTAGCTAACTTCAACCTCTATCAAGTCCCCAGCCTACTTCCATTTTTGATTTTATAGCTATATGCTATTTGTGCAACTGTTTATTCAATCAAGAAACACACAGGTCCACTTTGGGCAATGGCTGTGGTACACACTACAGAAATGCAATGAGGTATGTAATTTAAAGAGATTCACTCCCATCTGAAAAAGTGCTACTGGATCCATGTATTGATTACTAAGCAAAAATTCTATTTGTTTACTGTCACCTGAAACTGTCCAGTTTTTGAAAAAAACACAAAAGTAGCTGCCAACATTTTCATCATTGATATCATTTATCCACAACTCCAATTCCAATTTAGTACTTCTCTAATCTAAATAGACAGGTAGAGGCTGGCCAGTTAGCTCAGTTGGCTAGAGCGTGGTACCGATAACACCAAGGTCTGAGGTTCAATTCCTGCACTGGCCAGCACAAATTAAAAAAAAAAGAAAGAAAGAAAGATAAATAGGTAGATTTTTGATAAATCCTACAATCCATTTAATAACACCAAGGTCTGAGGTTCAATTCCTGCACTGGCCAGCACAAATAAAAAAAAAAAGAAAGAAAGAAAGATAAATAGGTAGATTTTTGATAAATCCTACAATCCATTTAAAGAAAAAAAAAAACAAAAACAAAAAACCAAAAAAACAGTTATGGCCACTTTTAGAGACCAACAGGAACAGTAGGAAAAGGAAACATGTCGATATAGGTCAGTTTCTTCCTGATGAGGCTACACAGAGGGTTGTCAGACATTTTCTGCAAAGGGTCAAATAGTAAATATTTTTGGCTTTGCAGGCCATACGGTCTCTGTTGCAACTACTCACTCTGCCACTGTAACATGAAAGCAGCCATAGACAATAAGAAATGGGCATTGCTGTGTACAACTTTACAAAAATAGGCGCAGGGCAGTAGCTTGCCAACCTCTTGACTAGATAAACAAATTGTTCCTATCTGTAGGAAATAACAATGGATATACTTACTTTGCTCTTTTGGCCATTTCATTTCCATCCCATCTGGGGCTGTATGGATAATTTTTTTGGGCCTGAGAGTAAAGCTGTCCACTGTTGGTAAAGTGATAGACAGACTGAAATGTGAGAGTCGGCTGGTCTCGAGGAAAAAACAAGGGCAGGTCAACTGCAAAGACAGAAGAAAGGAAAAGAAGGTTAGAGCTTAAACACATCTTAAGACACTTTTTTGGCTTAATCAGAATGTTGGGTACAAGACTATATTTGAACTATAAGTACTGGTTAAAGCTTAGATAAAAGGTGTAGGGAGAGGGACCAAGAAATACAGGGCTTCTTCCCTGCTTTCAAGGAGTTTATAATCTAGTTAGAGAGGCAAATCACATGAATGAAAATGTAACCAATATGAGGCATGATGTGTAGATTTTGAAAAAACCCTATGTAATGGTTACAGAAGCTCAGGGTAGAAATACGAGTGAGTACCCCCCGCCATCTGAACTTCCCCAATATTCCATAGCAGAGTTACCTGTATATCTGTTCGAAGTCTGTTATACCATAAACTCTTCAAGGGTTGGGCAGTATTTTCCTCATCTATATAATTTGATGGAGGAAGTGGGATGGAGGCTATTTTTCAAGATTGGATTTAGAAAAGGGATAAAGAGGGCAGATGAGAATCTTTCTACTTTATGGGATACGGCAATTGGACCACCAGAAAAAACAGTTCTCTCTCTGCTTCCAAAGAAGTAGTGAATTTTGATACTCAGCAGTTTCAATTTTTTCCATATGCATTACCACATATATTTATAGCTCCTAAATCAGTGGGAGCTCCTTAATGAACTGCAACAGGGACTTAGCACTAAATATGTCTGCTGTTACAGTAATCCTTGCTCTTAACATATAGTATGTGTTTTTTCTTTTCATTTTGGGGTTCTTTAACTCAATTTTAAAAAATAAAATGACTTGCTATTTTTAGTTGGGGCAAGCTATCCAGGCTGATTTTAATCCTTGCTCTTAACATATAGTATGTGTTTTTTCTTTTCATTTTGGGGTTCTTTAACTCAATTTTAAAAAATAAAATGACTTGCTATTTTTAGTTGGGGCAAGCTATCACTAAAAATACAGATTGTTTCAATAGCACATTCTTCAAGATCTATGATGTGTGTTTTGTGTGAATGTTATCTACTAATAGGACAATGAACAGGCACATTATCAAAAATAATAAGAAAAATGTGTACAGAATTTTCTAGTGTTATGGAGTACTTTTCTATACTTTTTCTAATTTGTTACTTATAACTCTGTGAGAGACATTATTTTTACTATCTGCATTTAAAAGATGAGCAAACTTGAGACTCCAAGATGTTTATTTCTTACTCATGTTACAGGTGCACAAGGGCAAGACTCAAATCCAGTCCCATGATTCAAGTCCTAGGCTCCTCTACTACTCTAAAGGACACTGGTACAACCTACATACAGCTCACTCACTATGCCATAACTACAATTAAGTAAGATAAAGTCTCCATTGTGAAGCATAAGGTTCATCTTTTTGATTACATGAGGCAGATATATTTAAAAAATATATACTAGTTTGTTATACGTATATCACCATCCCAGTCTGGGTTGACAATCAACTTGGACTAGGCCCTTTATGCACCTAATATAATTTCTTGAAGGAAAAGTTAGGTTCACAGCAAATCTTAAAAAAGAAAAACCAACCAAAAAACCCCAAGAAATAAAAAACTGTCCAGTTGGTGGGGCCTCTTAGACCTCTGAGTATATCTGACTCTGATGATGTCTGACTCAGTGCTGTAGGGGGTTTCTACGGATGAATCACAATACAACCAAAGAAAAGTAGCAAGATTTTGAATGTCCACTCTTTAGTCACATTTTTCAAGTGTAACAATAAGGTCGTCTCAATAGGTATTTATTCGTGCCAAAGAAGAGATTTAGTAACATATAGAAACAATACAGAATATGAAAAAAACTAAATCAAATTATAAATAATTCAATTCAGAAAACCCTTTTGTATCCCTTCTAATTACAAAGCATAATTTTGTAGCATCTTCAGTTACTTTGAACAAATATTGCTTTCTAAAATTTTTATATCTTTTCTGATTACTCATTTCATTTCCTGATTAATTTTATTTATTTTTATTTTTTTTGTCTTTTTGTCTTTTTTCCGTGTCCAGCAACGGA